ATTCAGGGCCAGCCTCCATTTCTTATTTAGGGAGCACTTATAGCACTGGCTGGCACCGTGGTTAAGGCATTTGGCTGCTAACCAAAAAGGTCGGTGGTTTGGACCCACCAGCCACCCTGGGAGAAAGATGGGGCAGTGTACTTCCATAAAGATTTCAGCCTTGGCAAACCTATGGAGCGGTTCTACTCTGTCCTATAGGGTTGCTATGAGTCAGAAACGACTCGATGGCAGTGGGTTTGGTTTTTCTAGTTTCAGCACTGGTGTCTGACTGGTTGAAGGAGTGAACACAGTAAGAGGCATGCCTACAGCACACAGGTAGTTTTATGACAGAGCTCAGAGACTACAACGCAGGCCTCTCAACGCCCAGCTCACAATGTTCCATTATAGCAGGGGTTCCAGTGCTCAACTGGCCAGGAGGAACATGGGTTCAGTAAGTCTGGGGTGGACCCTGGGTTTCTACACTTTTTCTAAAGCTTCATAGGGGATACAGATCCAAGCTGGGTTAAGAGTTGCTGTGAGGTGCCACAGCCTCAGTGTATGTGGCATGGAATGGAGGGGACTGGAGCAAGCTCTTTGGGAGGAAGACAAACCAGACCAGGAGGAATATCGTGAATACAAGTTATCAAAGGGGTTACCGCATGGAGGTGTGGGGAGAAGCTGCCAGAAAGGGCTAGGTGGACAGGCAGTGTGGACTTAAGACTCCACTTCCTCTTGGCTGAGCCTCGGGAGATGTCCCTGGGGGTGCAAATGGTTAAGTGCTCGACAGCTAACCTACAGGTTGGTGGGTCAAGGCCACACAGAGATGCTTCGTCAGGAAGGCCTGACCATCTTCTTCCAAAACCCAGCCATTGAAAACCCTATGGAGCATAGTTCTGCTCTGACACACATGGGGTCACCAGGAGTTGGAATCGACTGGATGGCAACTGTTTTTTTAAGCCCTAAAAAGATGGTGAGCTCTGGCTTGTTGAGCTCCCTCCCCAGCAGATACGTGAGCCAGAAATCACCCCCACATACCTGCTGGGCTGAGGGAGAGTACCAGGTGACCACTCTCACTCACCTGTTGGTGCTCTGTTCTCTACTGGTTTCAGTTGTGACTGTGTCTCTGCCCTCCCTAAGGGACAAGGCCTGTGCTTTCCTTTGGTTGCTCACAAAGTCCCCAGCACCAAGCTGCAAAACTCAGGTTTGCTTGGTCAGTGGTTAGCGAGGGGCTGAGTTAGGGAGGGGCTTGTTCGACAGGAACTGCTGTTATTTGTCCCCTTTAAGCAAGGGGCCTAGAGTCTCCGTGGACATGTGCTTCTCCATCTCCTTGGCCGAGCAACTGTTGATCTGTTTCCGCAGATGGTGATCCAAGTCTCTGAGAAGGGAAGAAATTTGTTAGGTTATCCTGGGACAGAGCTGAGCCTGGAATTTATATCTGTACCTTGGTCTCTGTCCAGAATCCCTCTGACCCCACTCTGTAGGAGAAAAAACAATAGTATGATAGTCAAAATAGCATTTTTCATTGGCTGTGAATTGATTGGCCTACAGACAGATTCACCTGCCTCGGTTTGTCTTACTTAGGCTAAAGGTAAATTTATTTTTCATTCCCTGAGTACATTAAAAGGCAGGGGTCTAGACTAGGGAGTTGGAAGCTTTGAATTCCATCCAGGCTCTGCTAATAGCTGTGGCCCTGGGCAAGTCCCTTCCCTTCTCCGGCCTTGAGTCTTCACAGCTGTAAATGAAGTTAGAGTTGATCCCAAGCCCTGCTACCCATCAGAATTGCCTGAGCAGCTCCATCCCCAGGAGGGGTCCAGGAGTCCCTGGGTGGCACAGTTGAGTGCTCAACCAAAAGGCTGGTGGTTCAAACCCACCCAGAGGCATCTCAGAAGAAAGGACTAGCAACCTGCTTTCATAAAGATTACAGCCAAAGAACCCTCATGGAGCAGTTCAACTCTTAACACGTGGGATTGCCATGAGTCAGAATCGATTCAATGGCAACGGGTTTAGTTTTTGGTACTAAATGAAAAGTTGGTAGTTCAAACCCACGCACAGACATCTCAGAAGATAGGCCTGGGAACTCTGCCAGCTCACAGCCTTGAGAACCCTATGAAGTGCAGTTCTACTCTGCAATGTGTGGGGTGGCCATGAGTCAGAATCAACTCTACGGCAACTGGTTTTTCAGATGAGGAGGGGTCCTGACATCTGTGTACAGCAGAGGTTGAGGTCAGTCCAGCCAGATGGTCTTTGAGGCCCCTTCATCCGAGCCTGGCTTGAGTGACTCAGTGACAGAGACTTGCATTCAGTGATGTAGGGTCAGGGCCCTGTGGGGAGCTGGGCCCAGCCTTTTCTCAAGGCACACCCAATTCTTGGTCACTCAGGAGAAGAGAAGCTGATTCCCACTGCTTTGGGGGCAACAGTATTTGATTAGGTCTCTCCCTTTGGGTGGTGATTCTGTAGCAAATGTTTCCCATCTCCACCCCTGGCTTCCCCAGGTGAGAATCATCCTCTAAACCAAACCAAACCAAACCTACTGCATTTCCAACTCTTAGCAACCCCATTGGGTTTTCAATGCTGTAAATCTTTGTGGAAGCATACCACCCCATCTTTCTTCTGCAGAATGGCTGGTGGGTTCAAACAGTGACCTTTTGGTTAGCAGCCAAATGCCATAACCACTTCACCACCTAGATTGGTGTCCTGGCTGCCCAAGCCACCCACCGACTCAGCCCACACCTGAGCACTGCCTCCCTTTGTCATATGGTGTGTCCTCAGGGGAGGCAGACTCATTTCAGTATAAGCTCCAGCGAGGTTTAATTAGGACAGCGAATCTACTGTTTAACCAAAAAAAAAAAAAAAAAAGTCCTATGACAGATCTCAAGGTCCTAGGGAAGTGATCTGCCATTTAAGGAAGGGTAGAAAAGAGCTGGCCTTCCATTTCATTTCTTTCAGCCTAGGGATCAAAACTCAAGACATGGGAGCCCTGCTGACACCAGAATATGCAACCTGGCTTTTGGAAGTTATTGTTGTTGTTATGTGCCATCGAGTCAGACCTGACTCACAGTGACCCCTTTTTGGGTTGCCGAGGCGGTATCACGACAGAAGTAGATTGCCCAACCTTCCTTCCGAGGAGTGGCTGGAGGCTTTGAACTACCAGCCTTCTGGTTAGCAGTCAAGTGGCTTAGGCACTTTGTGAGATAGTCTGATGGTGCGGGAATGGGGACGTAACTTTATGAAAGTTCTCTTTTTCTTTCTTAACCCCCGCTTACCACTCAACCTCGCCTTCCTCACTGCTGTTTATTGGACATTTGCCATTTCTCAGGTGGGGTCGTTGCTGTCAGCTGCCACCAGATTGACTCTGACTCATGGCAATCTTACGTACAACAGAGTGAAGTGCTGACCAGTTCTGTGTCATCCTAGCAATAGCCAGAACATTCAAGTTCATCATTGCCGCTGTTGCACCAATCTGTCTTACTGAGGGTCTCCATCACCCTCACTGGCCCTCTGCTTCACCAACCACAATGTCTTCCTCCAGCGTTCGATCCTGATGGTGTATCCGAACCAGCAAGGTGTACAGTGGACAGTCAAGCAGTGCGCAAAGGGCTTGATGTGCATTTCTCATTCAGTCTTCGTAATAACCCCGTGAGGCAGGTTTTGTTAACCCCATTTTATGGATGAGATAACAGGTTCACAGAGGCAAGTGACTTGCACAGCATGGGTCACAAGATGTACCGTATTTTTCACATATAATATTTTTCACACATCCACATAAATAGCACACAGCATGTATAGGAAAATAATACACAAGGTGTTTGCATGGTTTGAGAAAAAACATATCATGTGTGCCTTATTTGTGTAAAAAAAATATGGTAAGTGGAAGAGCTGGGATTGGAGTCCAGCCCAGCCTCCTCCGTGGCCTGTGCTCCTGACCTGTGCTGCTCTGCTGCTTCCCCGACAGAGGGAGCCACAGATCATAAGATTGAGCTCAAAGTTACCAGCCCATCCTTCCCCTCACATTCCTTCTTGGCAAAATCTGGGCTTCTCTAAACCTTCAAGCTTAGCGCTGCCAAGCCTAAGCCATTGCTCGCTGCTAAGCCCCATCAGGGCCACTTACTTCTTGGTTGAGCTAGGGAGATTAAGCATTTTAGTCTAACAGACCCTCCTGTGGAGAGGGGGCTGGGGCAAGATGGCCCATACTCCCTAGTGTTTGTGATCTGTACTGCTGCCCACTGGGGTGTCTGCAGGCAGGCCCTTTCTCCCCGTGAGCCTCAGCATCCTAGATGAGAGTGTGGAGGCTGTGGTTGCATTGTTCCTCACCAGGGCTGAGCTGTGGGCATCTGAACTTGAACTGGGTTCTCCACAGGGACAGGTATCTTGCTGTTCAGGCGAACGGCTTCCTCCAGAGAGCACTCTGCTTAACAGCACCTGACATGGTTCTTGCCTGCTCAGCATCTTGATTACTACACTTGGGCTGTATTAGGTGGCCACCTTTAGGAGTGAATGCAGTCATCCGGCTCATCAGTATCCATGGGGGACTGGTTCTAGGACACCCCCCCCCCCAGTGCCAAAATCCAAAGATACCTCAAGTCCCTTAAATAAAATTGCATCGTGTTTGCATATGACCAATGTAAATCCTTCAGTATACTTTCAATCATCTTTAGATTACTTATAATACCTAACACAATGTAAATGCTGTGTAAATAACACTTTAAGCTCCCTCTTAGCCTTTGAGGGATTGCTTTAACCACTTAATTACTTTTTTTTTTCCCCCTTGAATATTTTCAGCCCATGGATGCAGAATCCACAGATGCCAAGGGCCGCACTGGCGGCTTTTCTGGAGGTGTTCTCTGTCTCCAGATGGACCCTGTGCTCCCCAAGCTCAGGCTTGACTCTCCCCAGCTAGGCTGTATCTCCCCTCCCATCCTCTGCCTACCACTACCCCACATAGTTCTGCTCCAACACTGATCAGGCCTGTTCTTGTCTGACAGGCAGGTCCTTTTAGCCTTCTTCTGTAGCAAGCTGATCTGGCCTTACTCTCCAGTGACCCTTTGCCTCCTGGTTCCGTGGCTTCTGTCCTCCCCGTTTCCTGGACAAGATGTTCCTGGTGGGCCTGACGGGGGGCATTGCCTCAGGCAAGAGCTCAGTGGTCCAGGTGTTCCGGCAACTGGGCTGCGCAGTGATTGATCTGGACGTCATTGCCCGGCATGGTGAGTTGTGGGAGGGGCTCAGAGGGATTATATGCATGGCTCCCCTGTGTGCCCTCTCTTCTGCACTGCCTCATCCCTTTAATTCCTGACTTCAGGGCCTCAGAGGGGGCTAAGGCTTCCTGTGTGCCCCTGTCTGTTCTGTCCATGCCTCCCTCTGACTGGAGCTTTCCTCCTCCTCCACCTGCCCTTTACCAACCTGAGGAGTCTGGGCCCTCTTTCTCTCTCTCTTTTTTTTTTTAAATACATTTTATTGAAATATAATTGAAAGTGACATGAGTCAATGCATTTTTTTCCTTGACTTTTTACAATAATGAACTAATACTATGCCCTTCTGTGATTGACTTATTTCACTCAGCATAATGTCTTCCAAGTTCATCCACATTATGTGGTGTTTTGCAGATTCTACGTTATTCTTTAGAGTTGCATAGTATTCCATTGTGTGTATGTACCATAGTTTTGTTATCCATTCTTCTGTTGATGGGTACCGAGCTTGCTTCCATCTTTTGGCTACTGTAAACAGTGCTGCGATGAACATGGGTGTGCATGTGTCTGTTCTTGTCCTGGCTCTCACTTCTTCAGGATCTGTGCCTAGTCATGAGACTGCTGTGTGCCCTCTTTCTTCCCTAACTGCTTTCTCTCCCCTCATTATTTCTTTTTGTACTTGCTGTTGTTGAGAATATACGCAGCACATGATGTACCAATTGAGCGTTTTTTCCATGTATAATTCACTGACACTGGTTACATTCTTTGAGTTATGCAGCCATCCTCACCCTCCTTTTCTGAGTTGTTCCTCCCCCAATAACATAAACTCACTGCCCCCTGAGGTTCCTGTCTAATCTTTGGAGTTGCTGTTGTCAATTGGAGCCCATTGTAGGTAGTTCTTACAAGAGCACAATGCTCAAAGCAGACATTTTTCACTAGTTAAGCTAAGTATTGTTTGATTTAAGGTTGAAAGATTTTCTCAGGCTGATAGTTTCAGGGGTTCATCCAGCCTCCTCAGTTCCAGAAAGTCTGGAGCCCCCGTCACTTTGTTTATGCTCCAACTGAAAGAAGCACCCTTCACCCTTGGGCTCCTCCATCATCCTGCCTCTAGTCACCTGGGGCCTGCAACTGGCCTGGAGGCTCCTGCGAGTGACCCGGCCTCCTCCCTGTGCCACAGTGGTCCAGCCAGGATACCCTGCCCACCAGCGCATTGTGGAGGCCTTTGGCACTGAGGTCTTGCTGGAGAATGGTGACATCAACCGCAAGGTTCTGGGGGACCTGATATTTAACCAGCCTGACCTACGGCAGCTGCTCAGTGCCATCACCCACCCTGAGATCCGCAAGGAAATGATGAAGGAGACCTTCAAGTACTTCCTCCAGGGTAAGACCCAGGGCTTTCAACAGGGGCCGGGGGCAAAACCCACTCCTTCCAGGGCCAGAACCAGGATTGGCTGGAGTGGGCGGAGCTGGTTATCCAGGCTGGTCCGTTCGCACTGTTCCTTGCTATCAGCCCCAGAGGAAAGAAGCACACGTCCCCCAACTCTTAAGGAGGTTGACAATCTGATGAGAAGAGACATAGGGCTTTTGATCTTTGAAGTTCATTTTTCTGGTAAGGATTGGAGTGATAATAGCTGATGAGTAATGGAATCCTAGGACCTGAGTTCAAGTCCCGGCCCTCACAGCGTCTAGCTGTGTGACTTGGCGGAGTGATCCAGCCCCTCAGCCCATCCCATCTGTGTGGTGAGGATAAGAATGCTGACATTGGAAAGGTGTTGAGAGGACCGAAAGTCCACAGTAGGGGCAGTTGATCAACCCACAAGTATAAACCATGGTCAGAGTCAGATTGGGAACTAATTAAGACACCTAGGAAAGTGTGTAGATGGAATGGAAACTGGGGAAGGACCAGGATGGCCAGGGAAGGTGGTGGAGGAGTTCTGATTGGTGGACAGTTATATAGAGGTTGGGCTCAGGGTCAGAGTCAGTCTGACGAATGCAGGGACAACCAGGGTAAGGGGGTGCCTGGCTATGAGGAAGGGAGAGGGTGGGAAAAGCAGGGACCTGTGGGCATTGACAAAAACCTTACCCAAGCAGCTATCAGCAGACTTTCCCAAGCCCTTGTTCTGCAGGATGGAGTTAGGCTGGAGTGACCTGACACTTCCTGTCCAGGATGGGGTCAGTGGCCAGGAGCACTGGGAGAGCAGGGCCTCAGGATCAGGCAAGAGGTTGTCTTGGGGCCCCATTGGATCTGCCTGCCAGCCTTCGGCATACGTGGCCTCCAGTACTGGCCTTGGTGCTGCGGGCTTTGCTGCTCATCTCCCCACTGTCAGCCACGATGGAGATGTGCCTGCCTGCAGGGCATGGGGGAGCCTTCTAAGTTATCTTCAGATCTCTGCACTGTGATGGTCAAACCCTTTTCCTCTCAACTTACCACCTACAGTGTGGAGGACCCTCCCCACCCTCACCCCTAGCCAATACCTCTCTCTAGAAGGAGATGGTGACTTGACCAGGCCTCTATGACATTGAGGCCCCCAACTTCCCCAAGCTCTGGTAGGCTGGAACTGACTGCAGACATCCTCCCCGCTGGACCTGCTGATCCGATGTGCGTTCCCTCTCAGCACCTTGCCACAGCCCCTCCTGCCCCCTGCCCTCCCTAGAGCAGGCCCTGGCTCTCTCCCTTTGTCCTGCTGCCTGTCTGCTAGTCCCCTCACCTCCCCCACCCCAACTCTGGCCTGCCCAGGAGCAGAGACTTCTGTTTTCCATTCTTGCCCTTTTGCATTTGCTTCCAGGCCAGTTGCAAGTCTGTCTGCAGGGCTTTGAGGCAACGGTGGCTCTCTCCTTCTGAAATTAAGCAGAGGATAATGTCACCCGCTCCAAAGCTCTCCCCCGTGTTATCCACCCAGCCTCCTCCCACCCCACTTAAATAAAAGCCAGAGAGCTCTCTTCAGCCCGATAAGGTGAAAAATGGGGACGACAGCTGTGGCTTGCACAGTCCCAGTGTTTCCCTGATGAGTATAACAAATACAACTGTCAAAGTTGGTATAATCAAACGTCAGATAAGATCACCAGCTGTTGGGGAGGTCTCTGCGTAGGCAGACGGATGTCTTAATAGAGTCAGGATAGTTTGCAGAGCTTATCAAGCAGGAGGGATGTGACAGCTGAATAGCCCTTTGCTGGTGAACCAAAGAGCTGGCCATGAGCTCCCCAGAGGGCCAAGGAGAAAGGCCAGTGAGAGGAGGGGAGGCAATGGGAGTGGGGCAGGAAAGGGAGATAAGAGGCCCAGAGAGGATCCAATTTTGGCTCCTGCTTCGAGATGGGGGCAGAGCGGAGCACCTGGCCCTGCTGGCCTCCCCCTTCCCGGGGACAGTAGTCATTATAGCCACGTCTGTGGAGTGCTTAACAAGGGCCTGCACAGGGAGGTGCTGACACGTCTGTGGGGTGCTTAGTAAGGGCCTGCACAGGGAGGTGCTGACACGTCTGTGGGGTGCTTAGCGAGG